CATTGTGGACATCACTCATTCATAGGGTCGCCAGGAGTTGGAGCCGACTTGGTGGCACATAACACACACAAGTTTCTTGTAGGTAACATATAGTTGGGTCTTGTTTTCCACTCTGATTGTCTCTGGTGTTTTTGTGTGTGTGTGAGGAAGACCAGCCCTGAGCTAACATCCGATGCCAATCCTCCTCTTTTTGCTGAGGAAGATTGGCCCTGGGCTAACATCTGTGTCCATCTTCCTCTACCTTATATGGGACGCCGCCAGAGCATGGCTTGACAAGCAGTGCATCGGTGCATGCCTGGGATCCAAACCTATGAACCCTGGGCCACTGAAGTGGAGCATGCGCACTTAACTGCTGCACCACCGGTCCAGCCCCTGTCTCTGTTTTTTAAATGATGTGTTTAGACCGTTCACATTTAAAGTGATTATTGATATAGTTGGATTACTATCTACCATATTTCCAACTTTTTCTATTCATTGCCCGTGTTCATTGTTCCCTTTTTTTCCTTCCACTCGTTTTCAACCTTCTCTGGTTTTACTTGAGTATTTTACATGATTCTATTTTCTCTTCTCTCTTACCATATTATTATATTTCTTTAAAAAAATTTTTAGTGGCTGCCCTATAGTTTGCAATATACATTTACAACTAATCTAAGTCAACTTTCAAATGACACTATAATGCTTCACAGCTAGTATAGGTCCCTATACATACGAGTATTTTCTGTTATTCATTTAATTACTCCATAAGTTATAATCACCCAGTATATTGTTGCTGTATTATTATTCTGAACAAACTGTTATCTGTTAGATCAGTTAACAATAAGACAAATAAAAGATTTTTATTTTATCTTCAAAAAAAGAATTTTATCTTTGAGAATGTAATCCCAAATAAAGAAAATTTTGTCAGAAATGAATATTTTCAATAAAAACCTTTGCTAACTAGATATATGAAAAATGGGTGTTTTAATTTTTTTAGTTAGCAAGATTGACTATCTGTCTTCAACTAGTTGTTTTTCTCTTAATTACCTGTTTATATCCTTTGCCTGCTTATCAGTTTGGGGATTAGTGGGATTCTTTTTCTTATCAATTTATACAAGCTGTTTTTAACTAGAAAATTATTAGTTTTCTATCAGTTGTATTTGTGGCAAATTTTTCTATCTTTAAATTTTTATTGTATTCTTAAAAATGTTTTATTATAAAAGAAGTTCATACTAAGCAGCACATAATATCTTCACATAGTTCAGAAAGTTACAGAACTGGAAATAAATTTGCTCCCTCTTTTTAGTCTAGTTCCCCACTTTTGAACCTTTTCTGTTTTCAGTCCTTATAATTGTTGCCAGAGCTCTGTATCTACATTTCTTATCTTCTTTGACTCCCTGTCCGGAAGGATGAAGAATACAACTCACTTTCCACACCATCTCCCTCTGCCTTATTGTGGTTGTTATTTCTAGTTCTCTTAGTGGTTAATTTTATGACTTAACTTAGACCCCTATTTCTTGATCCATCAACTTTATAGATGGATCTTTATCACTGTAACCTGACCTCCTGAGTTGTAAATTGAGGAACGTTGTGTCCTTATATTTCTTTCCATCTCTCTTCTCATTTGCCTCCCACGTTTCATGAACTATTTAACCACCACCCACACACTGTGGGCCGTGGACTATGCTAAATGCTGTACAAAGTAACTCACAGAATCCTTGTTACAATGCCATACGAGGTATTTACTGTTGTTTCCCACATATTTATGGGTAAAGAAACGGGCCCAGAGAAGATAATTTGTCCAAATTCAAGGAAGTAATTGGCTAAGATTTGATCCCAGAGGCCTCCCTTCAGAGTTCATATTCTTAATCGCAATGTTATGCTGCCTCTCAGCTATATCATTGCTTTTATTTTATGAAGGTTATAACCTTTGAATTGGGTTCGATGATCATTATTATGTCTTTCATGTTTTAGAGCTTGTCTGAAAATCTGGAAACCAATAACCAACATTTATGATGTTATGATTTTTGTAAATATGTATTTACACACTTAAGTGACAGTCTTGCATCAGATGGGAAGGAAGTGTAATCCCAATAGTCACTAAAACTCTCCCACTGGAAAGAGACTTTTAAAAGTAAAAGATGAAATGGATTATTTTTTCTTGCTGTCGTCAGTTGGTCAAAATCATATCACACTTGAGTTTGCTCCATATTAAGGCCATGACTTTTCTTACACAGCTTTTTCTTTTTTTGAGGGGCATTTTTCATAGCCTTTATATCTTGTTGACAGAAGTAGCGTGTCCCCTCACCCTGCTACTGAGGTTACCCGCTAGTCAAACAGACTGTTCAATATGATCCCCTTTTCTTCTTGAACACCTCAGGATTCTTTGATTCCTTGTTTTCATTTGTATCTACTGATTTCTAGACTTTTTTCTAACATGCTACACAGCTGTCATATCAAAAATTTTTAAACTGTCCTCATGAATTAAGTCTACAGTTTCTTTGACCCTATTTCTTCTACTTTCTTATTAGATTCCTTTAAAAATTTTTTTGAAGTATTTAGTCAAAGAACTTTTTCCTAAGATTATATAGAAGGTAAACCGTGAGCCATGCAAATTTGAAACAGTCTTTATTTTCCCCTTACACTACTTTAATAACTTTACTGAGTATAGAATTCTAGGTTCAAAATATTTTTCCCTCAGAATTTTTAAGGCGTTACTCTATGTTCTTCTGGCATTCGGAGTTACTAATGTGAAGTCTGATCTTAATCTGGTTCTTGTTCCTTTGTAAAAACATAATTTTTTCTCTTTGAAAGTTTCAGCATTTATTTCTTTATCCACGTAGTTCTGAAATTTCACAAGGGTGTATTTCTTTGTGGATGCTTTTTTTTATTTATCCTGCTTATTAGCACTTGGTATACCCTTTCAGTCTGAAGACTTGTTTTTCTCAACTCTGAGAAATTTTTAAAATATTATTCTTTCTCCCTTTTCTGTACTTTTTTTCTATTCTCTCTTTTTAAATTTCCTAATAGGTGAAGGTTGACCTTCTGGATTGATCTTGTTTTTAACCTTCTCTTCCATTTAAAAAATCTGTCTTTTTGCTATTAAATTTTTTTTAGTTTCATTTTTCATTTCCAAGAACTCTTTCTTTCTGTCTCATAATCCCTTCTTCAGAGGAACTTGTTCTTGTTTTATGCTGCATTATCTTTTAAACATCTTAGGATACTAAGTCGAACCTTCAAACACTCTCTTCTGTTCCTTGAGTCATCTCTTTGTTTCCTCTGAGGTCAGTTGGTCTTGATTTATCTTGATCTTTTTTGTAAGAATGTTCTTTGGTTTTCCTCAAAGATCTGGTGATCCTTATTAGTCCCTTTGTACTTATGAATGAATGAATACATTGATTTATAAGATAAATGGCTGGCGTGGCTTTCCTGTCCTGTTATTTGGGGATTTTTCTCCAACAGACCTCTCCTCTGTATGGGAAGAACCAGTAGGGAGCCGAGTACAAACGTGGTATCTATCAAATGACATCTTCATTTTAGGGTTTATGGATGAGGAGCAGGGAGCAGGCAGCCCCACCCCACCTCCCATGTCCCGTCCATCCATCCCCCAAGACAAAGCAAGAAGAGCTTGGTTCTGAGGTTCTCGCACCACTCAGGGAGCTCTCCCACTTTGCTTTTCTATTTTAGCCCAGTCTTTCTGTGTGTGGTGAGTCTGAGAGGAGGTCTAGGTCGGTGATGGCTGTGCTGTTTGTAGTCCTCTAGTGAATCTTTCTGAGTACTGCTCATCACTGCCCTGATGGACTTGAAGCTTCGAGCTTCCTGGGGCTCCAGTGGGAAGAACTAGCAGGAAGAACTGCATCCTGTTTGTATGCAGGACTTTGGCTTCCTGAGGTTCTACCCCAGGATCATTGCACCTGCTTTCTGTCTTCCAGAAACTGGTCTGCTCTCTTATTCTCAGTGTTTTTAATGTATTTCTTTTCTGTTAAGCATTTTTAACTGATATTTTAATGGTATTTTGGGGGAGAAGGGAATTAAGCATGTGAGCTAGCTATTCATCTTGAACTGGAAGCCAATGATGTATACTTTGGGCACACAAGTCTTGTAGATTTTTGTATAGTCAAGTCCATTGTTTTTCAAGTTCTTAATCTTAACAATTTAATATATATTTATTATCAACTCAACTTAGGCTAGTTCTCAAAACAGTAACAAATTAGAAGGTTCTTGGGAGGATGCTGCATCTAGTTGGAAGAGAAGTTAAAGCTGGCATATAAATTATTAAAAGCAGACATGAGAGCTAAAACCACAGTTTTCTATACAACCTATGTTACCCAAACAGCCCTGAGGGCAGCACTATATCACAGAATAACAATAGGAGTCAAAAGGATGATCCTGAAGGTTGAATAATGGTCTATTTAAGAAGCAGCCAAGATTATAGCTTCAGATTTCCATGATCCGTGATTAAAGTAAAGCTTTGGCATCCGAAGAGACCTATTTCAATTTACTGGCTAATTAGACATACAGAATGTTGGACACATAATGTATTGTTAGGGAGTCAGATTTCATCAATGTGTATTGAATTCCTACAGTGTGCCAGGCTTTGTTCTAAGCGCTTTTCCATAGGGTTCATTTAATTTTTACAAGTGATTTATAGATTTATATTTATAATTCATTGTATTATAGCTAGATTGTAGAATGTAGCTAGGTTGAATTAAGTCTTGATAGTACGTGTTTAGCCAATAAAGGAGATGCTTCGCCCTCAAATCCCGTGTCATTAAGAGGTTCCACTCTGATACCTTTGATACAGGTAGCAGCCAGGGCAGCCGTTACACTTCTTTAGCAACGAAGAAGTCACGTGTCAGTGAGGCTGAGCAATTTGTTTACAGTCACACAGCTAGGATGTAGTAGAACCAGTTCCAGAATCCAGATTTCTGACTCTGTCTGGGGTTTCCAGACTCTGGTGCACTAATAGTCTAATTTTCAGGCCCTCTGATTTCTCCTTGTGATTTGTGATTGTTCATTCTCAGGTGCCCCTTGGCTTTGGTGTGGCAGCCAGTGTTCGAGTGGGCAATGCTCTGGGGGCAGGGGATGCTGAGCAGGCTCGGCACTCCTGCGTCACTGTTCTCCTGTGTGCCGGTGAGTGAAGCAGTTCTGCTCTCTGGCATCCATGCTGACTCTCATCTGATAAGTTAAAATATATATACCAGAATTTCTCTAGGAATTGACTTACCTATATAAACTCAACTAAAATCTTTATTCTTGATGCTCTTTCCAGTTTACTCAGTTAAATAAAGCTTCTAATTATGATTTTCTGTTATTAGGGACCAACTAAATAATGTTATGCTTGGTACTATTGAAATCATTTCAAAGGCAATTGTTATCTTATGCAGGCATATTTTCTGACCAAAGTCTGTGTGACCAGTTCTCCATGTTCCTGGACCACTGCCCGCTCTGGCAGTATTTTTTTTCCCCCTCCCCAAAGCCCCAGAACATAGTTGTATATTCCAGTTGTAAGTCCTTCTGGTTCTTCTATGTGAGCAACCGCCAGCGCATGGCTACTGACAGACGAGTGGTGTGGTTCTGCACCTGGGAACCGAACCCAGGCCGCCGAAGCAGAGCATGCTGAACTTTAACTACTAGGCCATCACGGCTGGCTCCCTCTGGCAGTTTTAATGTTCTGGAATCTGAGCAGTTAGAGAAGATTCTGATTGTATTGACACCTTATTGAACATCTTTTCTAAGTCTGCCTTAGAAAAAGGAGTCAGAATCATCTGACCTTAGTTGCTCTTTTCATAATTATTACATTTCTTAAATCATCGACACAAGTATCACGTGAGAAGCCAGTACGAGGATTTATCACCCTCTGGAGAATTTTCCCTTCCTGTTGCTTCTTCTGTATTTTCCAGGTGTTGGTGCACTTGTAGTGGGGGTTTCACTTGCAGCTTTGAAGGATGTGGTTGCCTACATATTTACCAGTGACGAGTATGTATCACGTTCTAGAAAAATGATTTTGGTTTTATGCTTGCTTTCTTTATGACACTTTTCTTATTCCGACAGGTGAGTAATATTTTACTTCACGGGAAAGTCTGTAGTGCAGCCAGGAATGAGAACCACAGTACTAAATGAGAATGAATTTGAATGACGGAAGCCCATGGACATCATCCCCCCTCCTCCAATACCCAGTTCATTTATTTATCAAACCTGAGTGGGATTTCTCTCATGCGCAATGCTGGGTTTGCTCAGAGATACACAGAAAAAGCACATGGAACATATTCATCCCTGGAAAGGCACCTCCTAGTCCAGGGCACACTGAGAGCACATACACTTGAATCAAATGGGCAGAATTTGCATAAATCAGTGACCCAATCTTAGGCTGAATTTTATTGCATTTTCTGTAATTATGTGTTTGCATAATTATTTAGATACAATAAAGTGTCTTTTGATTAAACTAAGTCCTCTTTATGAAAAAGCTCCAATAATTTGTACCAGTTGCCTCAGATTACTCTTACGAAGAAATTCAGTTTTATTACTTTCAAGTATGCTCTCCTAGTTTCATCTGACCTCATTGGTTTTAGACCAATGCTTAAACATATTCTAAAATCTTAGGACTAAGGAAATGGTCAGATAGAGTAATAGGGACTGGATTTACCCTCCTGCATTAAACAACTAAAAAACTGTACAAAATCTATATATTTTTTTTCTGAAAAAACTTTTCTTTATTGGTCACATTGGTTTATAACATTATATAAATTTCAGGTGTACATCGTTATATTTCAACTTCTGTATAGACTGTCTTGTGTTCACCACCAAAAGTCTAGTTTCCATCCATCACCGTACATATGCGCCCCTTTACCCCTTTCAACCTCCCCCGATCCCCTTCCTCTCTGGTAACCACCAGTCTGTTCTCTGTATCTGTGTCTTTGTTTGTTTATCTTCCACATATGAGTGAAGTCATACAGTAATTGTCTTTCTCCATCTGACTTGTTTTGCTTAGCATAATCCTCTCACAGTCCATCCATGTTGTCACAGATAGCATGATTTCCTTTTTTTTTTTTGGCAGGGAAAGATTTGCCCTAAGCTAACATCTGTTGCCAATCTTTCTCTTTCTCTTTTTTCTTCTTTTTTTTTCCTCCCCAAAGCCCCAGTGCATGGTTGTATATCCTAGTTGTAAGTCCTTCTAGTTCTTCTATGTGAGCCTACACCACAGCATGGCAAGTGACACACAGGTGGTGTGGTTCCGCGACCAGGAAATGAACCCGGGCTGCCGAAGTGGTGAAAGCGCCAAACTTTAACCACTAGGCCATCAGGGCTGGCTCATGATTTCTTCTATTTTATGGCTGAATAGTATTCCATTGTATATATATATATATAACACATCTTCTTTATCCATTCATCCATTCATGGGCACTTAGGTTGCTTCCAAGTCCTGGCTATTGTGAATAATGCTGCAATGAACATAGGGGTGCATATATCTTTTCAAATTAGTGCAAAGTCTGTATTTTTTAAAATAGTTTTCAAACGTTGGACAACAGGCAGCACAGAATAGTAATCCCTGAGAGGGGAAACAAATGAAGAGAACCCTGTGATTGCCCCAGCTTACTGGGAGGTATTTTCCAGGCCACAGCACAGAGGGGTCCCCGGCAAACCCCATCCATCTCCCTGGATTGAGGAAATGGAGTTGGGAATTCTAAGAGGCTGTGTGGATAGAGTTCATAAGTCAGAGTACCAGATGGGAGGGATCTCCCCAAGAGAGAGCTTTGGAGATCTGCAGAGGGTCTCCCTCAAGTCTTCAGCTGACTGTTAAGCTATGCCTGCATGTGAGGATGCCCCTTGAGGTTGGGGAGGGAGGGAACACCTGAAAGGAGCAGACAGAACAATCCCTGAAGCTCACAAAGGGCTGGTAAGAGTTTGTGTTCCTACCAGCCAGAATGAACAAAACCTCATAATGCATGGGACAGCTAATGGAGTTTTCAGAAGGATCTTACCTCGATAGTGGAGGAAAATTAGCCCTAGAATGAAGGCTGTTCTGGTCCTGCCTAACAAAGCTTAAAAGCAAACCTCAAAAGAATCAGACTGTTTCCAAGAAACTTAACTGCATCACAGCTCAAGAGTATTTAAAATACAAGAATATGTAGTACCCAACAAAGTAAAATTCACAATGTCTGCATCCAATTAAAAATTACATACAAAGGCATACAAAGAAGCAAGAAACTAAAATCTATAATGAGGAGAAACATCAATCAATTGAAACTGACCCAGAAATGAAACAGATAATAGAATTAGTACACAGGGATACTAAAAGTTTTTATAACTATGTTTCATATTTTCAAGAAAGTAGAGGAAAACATGAGCATGTTAAAGTAAGACATCAAAGATTTGGGAGAAAAACAACAACAAATTGAACTTATAGAGCTGAAGAAAATGAGATGAAAATATATTGGATGAGATCATCGGCAGATTAGACACTATAGAAGAAAAGATTAGTGAACTTGAAGATATAACAATAGTACATATCCTAAATGAAATGCAGAGAGAAAAAAGACTGCAAAAATATGAAAAGAGAATCAGAGAGCTGTAATTGGCCTGGAAAGCATGTAATGAGAGTTCTCAAAGCAGAGAAGAGAGAAGAGGAGACAGAAAAAAATTTTTTGAAGAAATAATGGCAAAAACTTTCCAAATTTGATAAAATCTTAGGATTAAAAGGATCTAAAAGGCTATTTGATGTAATCATCCATCTTACATTGGGATTCTTCCAAAACATCCTTGCCAGGTTGTCTAATTTATACTTTCATAACCTCAGTGATGAGAAACTTGCTACCTCCCAAGGCAGCTTTGATTCTCAGGACACCTTCCTTGTTTTGAGCTGAAATCTACCCTTCCTAACCCATAATTTTCACCCACTTCTTCCAGTTCTTGTGCTTGTGAGAGTATAAATTCATTTCTGAGTTACAGCCCTACAGATGTTTGAAGATGACTCTCATTCTCTTCAGGGTCTCTCCTCTCCATGGTAAACATCTGTAATTCCTTCAGCCATTTCTTGTGGAAGGTGATTTTGGGTCTCTACCATCTTGAATTCATACAAACCTGAAGGCAATACTCTTAGTCAGCACCATTTAGAGCAGAACTATTTCCATTCTACCTCATTCTGACTGATAGACTTCTAGTGAAGTATTAAGTTTTTGGTGGTTATACCACACTGTCACTTGAGCTGATTGCCGGTGTGCCACTGATCATCCCTGACATCCCTCCCCTTCCTCATGTGGTGGTCTTCTTGAACCCAAGTGCAAAATCCTACATTTGTACCCATTAACCTTTATTTTTTTTATTTTTTGACTCATCTTGACATTTTTGCTTTCTAATTCCATCAGTGACAGTATTTCCTATCGTTTCCAGCTTCTGGCATCTGTAAATGTGATATTTGCTTTTATATCTCCATTTCCACCTCTTTTGCCTAAAACTTTGGCATTTTCATTATAGTCTTCTTCTCTACCCCCAAGTTCTACCAGCATCCTCAGTGAACTCAGCATCCATGGATGAGCCATCCATTGTCCCAGCCCCTCACTCCAGTGCCCTAGTCCTAACCCCAGTAATCTCTGCCCTACCTCAGGCACACTCTCCCATGGTCATACTTTGGGCTTTGTCATCACATATAAATGTTCCATCTCCAGTCCTTCACTTGGCCACAACTTCAATGCTTCCAACATGCTTTTACAGCTACATGTACTTAAGAGAATTCTTCAACCACTTGGACCCTCCAGTCTGTTGACACCTCTGGCCTTGCAGTCTTTCTCAATCCATCATGACATTCCTGCCTTTACTTCTCTCATTATGTAACTTAGATGCCATGGCCCATCATTTTAGTAACTCTTCATGCTAGTAACCTGAATTCCTTTGACCCTCCTATATGGCAGAACCCCACCCTGGAAGAACCCACTTGCACATTGTCTGTGCCAATGGCTGATCATTTTTGGAAAAGTCACAGAAGAAAGCATATTGGTTCCACTAGAAACTTATGACAACCAACCACAATTAGACCCTCAGCATTGCTTATCTTGCCTTTATGTGGCCATCTCACAGTCTGTCACTGAAATCCATATTATACCTTTTCCACTCTCCTCAAACCACTGACCCCTCCCTACCATCCTCAGTCAACACTCTCAGCAAATGACTTTGCCTTCTCCTTGAGTTTATCCTGCTTGGTGTTTGTTGAGTTTCATGGATGTGTAGATTCATGTCTCTCATCAAATTTGGGAAGTTTTCAGCCATTCTTTCTTCAACTATTTTTTCTTTCCCCTCTCTCTCTCTCCTCACCTTCTGGGAGCCCCATATGTGTATGTTGGTCTACTAGATAGTGTTCCAACAGGTCTCTGCATCTCTGTTCATTTTTCTTCATTCATTTTTCTTTCTGCTCCTCAGACTGAATAACCTCAATTGTCCCATCTTCAAGTTCGCTAATTATTTCTTCTGCCAGCTCAAATCTACCATTGAGGCCCTTTAGTGAATTTTTCATGTCATTTTTTGGACTTTTCAACTTCACAGTTTTTATGTATTTGTTTTTTTAGAATTTTTATCTCTTTATTGATAGTATCTATTTGGTGAGACATCATTCTCATACTTTCCTTCAGTTCTTTAGACATGGTTTTCTTGAACTCTTTGAATATATTTAAAATAGATGATTTAAAGCCTTTTTTTAGTGAGTCCAAAGTCTGGGCTTCCTCAGAGATCATTTTTATTTATTGCTTTTTTTCCCCCTGTGTATGGGCAACACTTTCTTGTTTCTTTACATGACTCATAATTTTTTGTTGAAAACTGGACATTTTTTGTATTATAATGTGGCAATTCTGGAAATCATATTCTCACCCTCCCAAGGTCTTTTTGTTGTTGATGCTTGTTTGCTTAGTGACTTTTATGAACTAATTCAGTAAAGTCTGTATTCTTTGTTGGGTGTGGCCGCTGAAATGTCTGTTGCATTAGCTTAGTGGTCAGCTAATTATTGGACAGAGATTTTCTTATTTATTTTTTGAGGTAACATTGGTTGATAACGTTATATAAATTTCAGGTGTGCATCATTATATTTTGATTTATATGTAGACTACATCATGATCACCACCCAAAGACTAATTACCATCCATCACTGTACACATGTGCCCTGTCACCTCTTTCACCCTCCCTCCCACCTTCCCCTCTGGTAACCACCAATCTAATCTTGGACAGGGATTTTCTTAAATTCTTGCATCCCAAACATCTCCCAGTCTTTGCTGAGGGGCTTTCTCTACAGGCATCAGGGCATGCCTTTAACACTCAGCCAGGCAGTTTACAACTTGGCCTTAACCTTCATTTCCTGCTTGTGCAGAGCCTCAAGTTCAGCCAGAGGTGAGAGCTTAGGCCTTCTCTGGTCTTTCTTGAGCATGTGCACAGTGCTATGCATGGAGGTGGCCTTCTAGATTCCCAGAAATATGTCAGAGCTTTCAAAGCCCCTAAAGATATCTCATTGCCCAGCCTTTCCTACCAAGCTCGTTGGTTAATATGTTGTTTGCCCCAACAATTATCTATTGCCTCAGGCAGCAGCAACTAAAACATTTGCCTGTAAATGTTTTCAACAAATATCTCCCAGAGGTCAATTTGAACACTGGGCAAGTTTGAGTCAAGTGAAATAAAAACAGCCTTTCAAGTGGGGTCTTCTAAGGAAAGACCAGACAGGTGGGTCTTTCTGTGAAATAACTATTCTTTGGGAATGAAGTTTTGAAACAGTTCAACTCATTATTCCTCCTCCAGTCTTGGAAATATGGACTGTTATTTTTCAAAGTTACCACTGAGCTGGGAGCAAAGGATGATACTAGAGTAAGTTAAGAACACCACAAAGCAGTTATTACTAAGATTCAGCCCCTTTTCCTGAATAAGTGCTCCCCAGGTCACTGCAAGCCTTTGGTTAAGATCCAGAGTTCTGAAAAAATTGATTCTGACAATATTTGCCAGTTTCTGACAATCTCTCCTCTTCCTGTGAATGGACCATACTTTCCTGTTTCTTTGTATGCTGTGTAAATTTTTGTTGAGAACTGGACATTTTGAAAATTGTAATGTGATAACTCTGGAAATCAGGTTCTTCTCCCTCCCCAGGCATTACTGTTCTTACTTGTTGTCATTGCTGTTCTGCAGTCATCCATTTGTTCAGTGACTTTTCCAAACCAGTTTTTACAAAGACTGTGTTCCTTGTCATGTGTGGTGGCTGGTATCTCCACAGTCAGCCAATGGCCTGACAGAGATTTCCTTAAATGCCTTGATCCAATAAGAAAAGAGTTCTTAAAAAAGGTTCTGTCTCTTTAAATTATGCAACAGGCACTGCCTGGGAAGGCGCTTCAACCCGAAGGGATTGAGACAGTGGCCAGCATCTGTGCCAGTCCCTTAGTCAACTGCCTGGTAGATCAAAACATATAACCCTGATTTTTGGAGGACAAGATCCTTATCGCCCAACCTGTCACCAATTAGCCACATCAGGAATGCAGGCAGTCAGCCCTTCAGCTACCTGCCATGGGACCTGGGGAATAGGAAATGTAGCTACTATGCAAAACACCAAAATTCACAGATATTTACCAGCCTCTTTCTTCATCAAGGGCTCCTTTTGTCACTGCAGGTTTTCAGTTCAACTCCAGAGCTCTGAAATAGTTGCTTCTGCCATTTCTTGCCAGTTCAATAGTTGTTTTGGTTAAAAGACTGATTCTTGGAGCTTCCTACTCCACCATCTCCCATGATGTCACCTGGATATAGATTTTTCATATTAATATGACTCTTATTCCTTTGTAGAAATTTTTTTTTCTGGAAATCTTTCAGATACTCTTTTTGTCCTTGGATGTACTTAGGTATAGGTGAATCTTTTTTCTTTTCTTCTGTGTGGCACTTTATAGACTTTCAATCTGAAGCATTGGATTTTTCTTTAGCTCTAGGAAATTTATATAAATGGTAGAATTTATGGATTAAGCTGACATGTCTCTTTTCTCTCATTTTCTCTCTGTGTTTTGGGATATTTCTTCAACTTTATCTTCCAAGCTGAAATTTAGTCTTTAGCCATGTCCATTTCATTATCCAGTCTTTAAATAGAATGTTTTATTTTAGTATTCATATTTTTCATTTCTAATCACTTTTCCCAATTGTTCCTTTTTCCTTAATTGCCTGTTTTTAGTTTATGAATATCTCTAAGAATAGTAATTATAATTTTTTTTTTAATTTCTCTGTTGTTCCTTGCATTCTTTTTGTTTGCTTCTGTGTCAGCTGTTCTTCGTGCTCACTTTGGTCTTTTCTGTTTTATTTGTGTTGTTGATTTTCTTCTGTGTCTGGTGAACATTGGTTTAATGTTTGTATATTTGAATGAAAGATCACATTGTCATTTTGATCAGTAGAGATAGTGCACACATTAGGTAACTTTGCAGTCCTGTGGCTCTATTCGAAAGAGGTCACTCCTCTGGGGAGAGGGTTGACTTCAGGCTCTGTCTAAATTGGTGGTATCTGTTGACCAGTATGCTTCCCCTTTAGGATGAATGGGAGGGAAGCAGGAAGACTTCCCTTGGGGAGAGTACGGTAGTCTGTTTCATGTATTGCATCCACATTGGCTCCATTGTGCAGGTCGTTAGTCACCTCCATCTCTGCTGTGTCTCTCTCCAGAGCCCCAGTACCCCCCACTAGGGGCCCTCCCCAGGCAGATCTTCCACCATGATTAGACAGAATGCAGGGGATCCACGAGGAGGCAAATATTTCCTATATGACCACTGGCCTCCAACTCCATTTTTGAGGAAGACTCCCATATGCAGAGGAAGAGTACCATACACAGGCTGAAACCTGCTTCTTTTTCTTCCCAACCTCTACATTTTTATACTTGTAAACAAAACTCTAAGAATTATCCTCGATAGTGGCAGCCTAGCCCATGTCCCTTTTAACCTAAATTCTAACTAATAAAATTTAAATTAGTGAGGTTTTATTGTGTACTCATGTTGTCAAGTAGAAAAGTAGTATTTTGACTGAATGGACTGATCAATTTGTTAGGTTTGTCAGATCAGTAGTTAAACGTGACTACTTTCTTTTCCTCCAACAGAGAGATTATTGCCCTTGTGAGCCAAGTGATGCCTATTTTTGTTCCATTTCATCTATTTGATGCACTTGCAGTGAGTACTAGAGTGATTTTACTGTCTAATATACATAGGAAAATTTGTGTCTCTAGCTTTTGAATTAAATGTCTGTGATTTCATTTTTGAAAAGAGAGAGCCCTTGCTTCAAGCAGTCTGAGCCACTTGTGGGAAAGAAGGGTTACTTAAGAATGTAGCATCTCAAGGTGGAAGAGACCTGAGTTATCCAGCCTCCTCTGGGGCCTATCCTACTCTATCTGGGGCCTGAATGCCCTGTGTGACATCCTAGCCAAGTGATGGAGTGATCTCTGCTGTATCCTCCAAGGCAGGCCATGCTACCTTTGAGTTAACTCTGGCCACTAAAAAGTCCTTCTCCAGGCTGGTCTTCTGTAGATTTACAAGTATTTGAAGACCCTTCTGCTATCCCCTGGCATTATCCCTTGAGGCTTATTCCCAGTTTCAGCAATTGGTCCTCATGACATGATTTCTAGATCAATTTTCCATCTTGCGTTTTTCCCCAAGGAATTTCTTGTATTTGTCAATATCACTCTAAAGACGTGGTCACCATGACTGAACACTGGCTGTGGTAAGAATAGAGTGGAAGAGAGCAAGATGATTGTCACCACGCTGGCTCTGAGTGTTTTTGAAGCCTGTGATTGCTTTAGTATTTTTCAGCCATGACATCAGACTAGTTTCTGCTGCGACTTCCATTAATGAAACCTCTACATATTTTTAAAACATATGCTGTTAAAAAATATTTTTAAATAGCCAAAGGTTTAAATAATGTTACCTGATGGGTTTCTGATGAAAGCTGCTATAGTTTGCTGTTGTTGGCATAACTTTAGAAGCAAAATGTTTTCCTGTAACTCTTACATAAAGTGCAATGCTTGTTTTGAGATAGAACTATTTGACCATATCCAAACTTGTGAAATATTAATGTAGTATTCTGAACTTGATATGATGATAGCTAAATGATTGCAATGTTGGTTTTGGTTTTCCTTTCTTTAGGGCACCTGTGGTGGAGTCCTGAGAGGTACAGGAAAACAAAAGATTGGTGCCATCTTGAATGCCATTGGTTATTATGGTCTTGGTTTTCCCATTGGAGTATCTCTGATATTTGCTGCTAAACTTGGGATAATAGGTATGTTTTTGATTCCTCAGTTACCCACCTAAAATCTCACTTGTCATATTAAGGTAAACTGCTTGAGATATAAAAAAAATTGACTGGAAAATGGCCTTGTGGAATTATTTTCTCCCCAAATAGTTATTCAGTGCCTCCTCTCTACAAAAACTCTGGAAATGGAGAGTTGAACAAAATAAACATGATCCCTGCCCTCAGGATGAGACCAAGATTAAATAATTAATTACACAATTATTCCATTTGGGTTAAGTACTGCAAAAGAGAAGAACTGGGTGCTGTGAGCACCTCTGATGGGTTGGAGGGAACATCTAAGCCCGACTGGCTTGCCAGCACAGCTCCCCAAGGTAGTAATGCGTTAGCTCAGACCTGAAACATGGCTGGAACTACCTAGAGAAGTGAACACCATCTGCTGAAAAACTATTCTTTCCTCTTGAACGGTCTTGGCACCCTTGTTGAAAATCACTTGGCCATAGATGTTTGGGTTTATTTCTGGACTCGCTTCTCCTCCATTGGTCTGTCTGTCTGGCTTATGCCCGTACCACAGTGTTTTGATTACTGTAGCTGTGTAGTAAGTTTTGAATTCAGGTAGTGTAAGTTCTCCAACTTTGTTCTTCTTTTTCAATTTTGTTTTGGCTATTTGGGGCCCCTTCCAATTACATATGAATGTGAGAATCAGCTTTTCCATTTTTGCCAACAAGGCTGCTACAATTTTTCTCGGGATTGCATTGAATCTGTAGATTGCTTTGGTGAGAATATTAGAGACTTGACAATATTAAGTCTTCCAGTCCATGAACACAAGCTGTCTTCCCATTGATTTAGCTCTTTAATTTCTTACAGCGATATTGTGTGGTTTTCAGTGTACAAGTCTTTCACTTCCATGTTTAACTTTATTTCTAGATATTTTGTTATTTTGGAAGCTACTGTAAATAGAATTATTTTCTTAATTTCCTTTTCAGATTGTTCATTGCTGGTGTACAAAAACACAGCTGATTTTTGTGTGTTGATCTTGTAAGTTCACCGAATTCATTTGTTAGCTCTAGTATTTTTGTCTCTGTGGATTCTTTAGGATTTTCTATATATAGGATCATGTCATATGTAAACAGAAATAGTTTCATTCCTTGTTTTCCAATTTTAATGCCTTTTACTTCTTTTTCTTGCTTTATTGTTCTGGCAAGAACTTCTACAATAGGATTTTAACATTTTTTCTATATTCTCCCCCAGGATTTTTATTTTAAATTTAAAAATAATAATGTAAAGCTAAAATTTATAGGATGTGAGATAATATTCCTAAAGAGCTTTTGTCAGAAATATGCTAACCTTTTATGTACGTTATCTCATTTAAATTTACGATGACTACATAAGATGTGATTTCCCGTTAGCTCCATTTTATACATGAAGAAGCTAAAATCTGAAGAGATTAAGTAATTTGTCCCACAGATAGTAAGTGCTGCGACAGGATTTGAGCCCAGATAGTTGCTTCCAGAGCTGCACTTGTTACTGCTATCTATTTATAGTGTCTCTCTCTAAGTTTCATAATTCCCTCATTCATTCAACAAACGTTCACCGAGGACCTGTACATGTCAGGGCCTCTGCTATGTTAGAATCTGGGGAATATAAACAAGCAAGATCCCTGTCTTTTGTGAGTTCATACCCCATGCTTTTGGTTTTTATTCCTCCCTTGTTCTTTGGCACCTTCTTATAATCTTGAAATGTAGGCCTTCACCAAGGACCGGGAGATGATCCTTTTGCTTTTCTTATTCTGCATTCTCCTTGAAAGTCCCAGGGCTTCAATCCTCCGTGCTAGTGGCTCTCAGATCTCCATCTCTGGACCTGACTTCATGCTTCAGAGTCTACTCTGTGTATTTCCAGCTGCCCCAGGTATTTACGGGCTGGTCTTCCGAACATCTCTGCTCCTGGTACCCTTTCTGGTTCGGTCACCCAGGCTCAAGAACTCTGTCCCAGTCATGCTGCTAAGTCTTACCACTTCTGTTTCATATCTTTGAGGGATTTGTCTCACTTTCCGAGGGGAAGAGTTGAGAGCTTATAGTGGCTATGGCATTTATCTTAGCATTTATTACCTCCAGTCAACGATGCATCTCACTCAAATATTTATTACTCTCAGTAGGTGTCACCATTCAGCACCTGTTTTCTTCAGAGGAAGAGGGGGAGGCACTTGAGGAAGCTTCTGTTTTTCAGACACCTCATCCTTCCTCAGGAAATTCTTCTCTCTTCGGTTTCATCTCAGGATAGTACCAGGTCTCTGTCTGTAGAGAATAAATGCACTATTGCCAAAAGATGAGGGAGCCAACACTGATGTCCACCTGCCGGTTGGTCCAAGACCTGGAGGCCATCTGTGTTTTCATGAAATGGGTGCTTCTCTGACACTCTCAGCTTTATGTTCAAATATCTGATGAACATTTTGGAAATGTTAGCTTTTGCTCAGGCATGCTTTTATCATTTTCATTATGAAGCTTTATTCCTTTCTTGTTAAGTTTATGCCTAGACATTTTATCCTCTTGTTGTCGATATAGGTGAGGCCTTCCCTTTCATTGTCAATTGTTTCTATGTAGGAGGGCTGTTAATTACTGTATGTGAATTTTATATCTTGTTACAATCCTGAATTCCTCTTATTTGCAATAGATTTCAGTTGATTCTCATAAGTATTCCAGGGGTACAATCAACAAATAATCTTAATTTTACATTCTCCCTTCCAAATTTTATACCACTGATTTCTTTTTTTTTTAATTTTATGTATTTATTTATTTTTGTGAGGAAGATCTGCCAATCCTCCTCTTTTTTTTTTTTTTTTTGCTGAGGAAGACTGGCCTGGGCTAACATCCATGCCCATCTTCCTCTACTTTATATGGGACGCAGCCACAGCATGGCTTGACAAGCGGTGCATGGGTGTATGCCCGGGATGCGGGCCGGCGAACCCCCGGGCCGCCCAGCAGAGCGCGCACACTTAACCACTTGCGCCACCGGGCCAGCCCTATACCACTGATTTCTTTTTCCTCCCTAATGCCTCTCGTAGTACAATAGATTGTTGTGGTATTAGTGGAAATGCTGTCTTGTTCAGGACTTTAGAGGTAAAGCTCCCAGGGTTTCTCTACTAAATAGCATGCTGGATTTGGGGCTGACATACACACACACACATATACGCATGCACACACAAACACACATATAAATAAGTTAGTGTGTGCATGTTTCTTTAAATCATGTTCAGGAAGTATCCATGGGGTCTATTTTATTGAATATTTCCAACAAGGATGGTTGAACATCTCGTCAAATGGCTTTTTAATGCCTGTAGAGATGATCCTGTAATTTTTGTCCTTAGATCTATTATAAAGATAAATAATATTAATTGGTTTCCTCATATTGAGCCATCTTGATTATGTGCTGTTCTTTTATTGAGCTGCTGGATTCTGTTATTATTTTGTTTAAGAATTTTGCAGTGATATTTATAAGATTGGTTTGTCTGTAGTTTTATTTTTTGTGTAATCTTTCTTAGGTTTTGATATTAATGATATTAATGTGACACTAACTTCATAGAGAGAATTAAAATGTTTTCCTTTTTGTATGCCCTGGAGCAATTTAAATAGGGTAGGAATGATCTGTTTTATAAAGGTTTGGTGGAATTCTTCTGTGAAACTGTTGTGACCTGGTGTTTTGGAGGAGTTTATCCTTCTTACACTTTCTCAATTTCTTTTCTGAAAATCAGTCTGTTTAGACTTTCTATCTTTTGTTGGGTCACTTTAGCAAATTATTATTTTTTTTTTAGAAAATTACCCATTTTATCAAGATTCTAAATGTACAGAATTGTACAAAATAATCTATTATGTGCTCTGGGGGTAACCTGTTATATGTCTGTTCTGCATATATATCCACATCTGCATTTTCTATAGATTTCTTTCACTAACAGTGATTTTTATTTTTTTTAGAAAGAAAATAGTCTAATTAGAAGACTGACTGAATGCTGTAGTGTGTATTCAAATAGCTCCTTTTGGTCTGTATCCAACCAGTACATTCTACCATGTAAAAACTCTTGCGTCTCTCCCCATTTCTCTGTGAAATTGTAATCTTGCAGCTGTCACAAGACCCTCCGTGTGTCCACACAAACAGAGGTGCTTAGTGTCTTATCTTGACTTTTTGGAAATACTGTCATTTGGTGGCTTAATGAGTAACTGTCTTCAACGTCATTTCTCTTTTTAACGAGCGTCACAGGCTGGGAGCCTATGGGGTATTTGATTAATGTCAGGCTGGACTTTGTCCTTCTCTATTTGGGACACAGAACTGCCAAGTATTTATCACTGTCTCATCTCTGCCAAGCACTGTCCCAGACACCAGGGAAATTCCGTTTCACCCAATAGCAAGAGCCCATGTCCTCATGAGCTGCTGGGTTGTACACTTCCGCTTTACTTAAAAAAACAGAGATAAAAACCTCTCCCCTATTAGAGTCTAAGCTCTTTTAGAATAAGGACCTGTCAGATTTCCCTCTTTGTCCACAAAAGTGCTTCTTGTGATGGTACACAGTAGGTGCTCAGATTGGTTAAATAACACTTTTCAATTATTAAAGTTGTACTTTAACAATATGGAAATTTGGGGAAATGCATAAAATACACAGAAGAAATTTCAGTACTTCTAATTTTACTTCTCAGATATAAAACTTGAGGCATTCAATGTATTTTATTCCAGTATTTTTAGATTATTTTTATTCCAGTATTTTTTCTGTTATTCACAAATGTGGGATTGTACTGAATATGTAATTTCCCCCATCCCATGTTAAAGACATGGTTTTTAGCATCTCTGTAATATTTCTTTGTATCATTTATTGAATGCCTCTCTAATAGTGGCCATTTAAATTGCTCCTCTTTATGAATCACACTGTGATGAGCATCTAGGTGTATGAATTATTAACGACATTCCTGAGTCTTTCCTGAGGATGGATTTCTGGGAATGGAATCCCTCTGTCAAAGGGTATAAACTGTCAGTCCGTCTACTTCTCAGCTGGAGAGGTTATTCCAGCTTTGTTTAAGGCCAGGAGTCCATGGGAGGACCAGCCTCAGTGTGCCTTTGCCAGTGTGGGGCCCCAGACGTGGAATGAATGAACAAGTGGACTGATTCTCAATTTATGCCATGTTCCATCTCTAACCAAAGCAGCTTGCTTTGTAGTGGAATTGTTGAGATGAGTGGATATTTTATATCCACTTTGATATATAATTAATATTTTCAGTGGTTTAAATAGTTTCGTCTCATAACTAGAGAGGCATTGTTTATATCCTTGTTTTTATGGAACCCTTTGTATTCTCAATAACCTTTTCCACACGGCCGTGGGGGAGAGCGTTTTCAAAGTGGACTTTTGAAAACACCAGGTCTCACGTGCATAAATGCCCACACCGGTCTGAAACCTTTCAGTGGGTTCCCGGGAGACTGAGAAGCAAAACTTGGATCTTCAGGCCTCGACCACCCTGCAAGTCCTGCTCTCTGACCTCCTTTCCCCGCCCCTTCCTAACCGGCCTTTCTGCTCCCAGGACCTGTGGGCTGGTTTCCTCTGGGCCTGGGCCTGCAGGCCCTTCCTGGAGCTGGCACAGCTGGCTCCTCACCGTCCTGCTGGCCCCCTCAGAGAGCCGCCTGAGCGTCTTACTGACTCCCAGCAGCAGGTCGTCATTGCCGCGCTCTGCCCCGTGTCTTTGACGGCACCTATTGCTCTTAAATGGTCACCTTTTGTTTCCTTGTTACTGCTTGTCTCCCCAGCAGAATATAAGCTCCGTGAGGGTACTGATCTTGTCAGCCTGTTCAATTCTGTGTTTCTAGCACTTAAAACAATACCTGGCACAAATCAAGCCGGTAAATATTTGTTAAATCAACATACAAAGCAGCAAACAGTTAGGGGGATTTTTAAAAATTGTTTTATTGATAGATTGCTTGCCATTGAAAGATCAATGATAAGATTGAGTCTAATCCTGGTCCATAATTATCTAAATTTTAGGGAAGTTAATTCAACTGTAGTTTACTCTGTGGGTACAGTAGTTAGGGAAGAATTTTATTGATGATGGGAACGGAACTGAAGAAAATCTAAACCGTCACATTCATTTTGCACCCTTAGGTCTCTGGTCTGGATTGACAGTTTGTGTCTTCCTTCAAGCCCTTTTCTACATGGTGTACATCTGGGGGATCAACTGGACTAGAGTTGCAGAGCAGGTAACAGACAGGTTGTCCTTTTAGAAATGTGGCTCAACTTGATCCCATGACACAGTAAGGAACCTTCTAGGGTCAAAAGGCTGAGAATGCCATTGACAGCATAACACACTTGGATTCATGAAATGCTTCTAATATGAGAGTTGGCAGCAGGAGAAAATCATATGTCAGCACATTTTCCTCTTAATATAGAGCTAATTTAGTATCTACTCACCAAGGACTCAACCTAAAAAAGAATTAGCTTAGAAAATATTTTGCTGGTTGGTGTAATAGTCTTAGAAAAATAGTATGTTTCTTATTTATTTTGATTTGCTGTCTGGTTTTAGGCCTCTTTTTAAAGAAATTTTTTTGGTCCATGCTTTCCTAAAAGCAGCATGCTAAGTGTCTGTGATCACTGGGAAGTACTTGGGGGCAGAACTATAACCTGTGGGTGGAGGATCGGGGTCCCGACCACATGGGCCTCTCTGTGTTCAACTGTGAGCCCTGTTTACTGTGTCGAGGCTGGAGATGAGATGGATGGGAGCTCTGCTTGGGGGAGGTGTTATTGATAAGGAGACGGGAGCATGAGTTTAGATGCACAAGCTGTCACTGCTAAGCTTTGACCCAGCCTCTAGGTTTCCAATCCCTGTTGATTTTCCTAATTGTGATGCATTCTGTCTTTCCTATTTTCAGTTTGATTTATGGAGGGAATAAGTGGACAAGACATTAAGTTGGACCATAAACTACCTATTAGATGATTATGCCATTTATTTTAGACTTTATTACTTTTATCAGTGGTTAGAAACACCAAAGGGCACTAGTGCAAAAAGTATGTCCCAGTTGCAGCTATGGCAACAAGTAGCTTTTTATATTATTATTGCGAGCTGAGTACTGGGGAGAACAGTGGCTGTCTAGTGTTTTGTTCTGTTGGTATTGGCATTTTCAGGACAGAAAACACTGTGCTAGATGTTGTTATCCTATAGCAATAGTTTCAGTAGTAGCTTAAATGAAGCTTTAACAAAAGAGTACTAGCCTAACTCGACTTATACTTCATCTACTTATGTGCCACTTGTTTTTAGGCGCAGGTTCGAGCTGGGCTGAAAGGAATTACAGAGACCGTGCCTACTCCGACAGGTAGCGGAGGACATTCTCCAGTGTACTCTATTTTTGTCTGAAGAGACTAAAACCTAGTGTAGCCAGAGCTGCTTAGTTTATGAGATCCTGTTCTCTTGCTTGATAAAACTTGTCTCTGGCCTAATAATTGGGAGATCAATTCTGGGTTCTCCTATGAAATATTTTTAATGTAATTTCACATATGCCAGTTAATGATTGATGGTCATTGTTTACAATGTATTCCTGTGTAACCTTCAGTAACATCCCTTTACGCAACCTAGTACATAAGTAAATACCCCACTGTTCTCTGTACACAGATCTGCCTACCTTGAAAAAGGAGGTAACCGATGGAGTGATTTTACCCGATGTCATCAGACCAGAGAGCCAGACCACCCAACTGATGAAAATGGAGGAAAACAACCAGTACACAGTGCCCACCATTGGAGATGTTTTGACAGTGAGCCAGTTGATTTTCTATCGAGGAATAGCTTTAGTTGTTGCTGTTGCTGTTCTTTTAGCAGGAATTTTAATAAGAGTTTTCAATGAGCGTGGCTAAAATAAAAGCATTGTCACCAATGCCATATATGAAGCATGCGAAGTGACCTTGTCATCTGGACAGTGGTTTTGCTCTCAACTGTGGGTGGAAAGGTTATCAGTGATGTTTCCTTAGTTATTCTGAGAATCTGCACTATCCTCTTGAAGATCAAGAAATGAGTTATAATTTTGAGTAAACTTTTCTCCCAAACGTTAACTTTATCATGGTTTTTGAATCTGTAAATTTGATTTTCCCTGCTCTAAGTGTTCTTTACTCTTTCTTATATTGAATATCTTTCTTCTTCCAGGAAAGCAATTTGTTGTCCTCTAAAATTAATTGCTGATCCAGTTTTGTTTTTATTTCTCTGTTAATGTATTTAACCTTGTCAGTGAGTGTATATTAAGTGCCTGTTCAAGTCCTATCTCGGTAGTGCCATATAAGCTTTTATAAAATTAACACCTTAAAATTTAAAATGTGTGCTGATAATATTTGGGGCTATAAAACCTATCTAAACAATGACTTTTAGTATTTTGTCATTTAGTAAATTTTTGTGACAACTTTCATATTAACTAATAAATAAATCTATGTTCTCTTCTGCTGCTCAGCTCCCAGAATGCTGGCCGTTATGCCTGCACCCTCCCAGCAGGAGATTTTTGAGAGCCTTTTATAGGAAATTTGACCAGCCCAAATAGAAAAATCCTTAAAAAAAATTACTAATTTGGGGGACTCCCCAACACAAGCCAACCAGATTACCTAGAGTGTAGCTCACAGTTCCAAGCCCACCAACGGACCAGTGTTCTCATTAGCTTTTCATTTCCCTCTCTGAAATGTGAACAAGCAGCCTAGGATTTTCAGACAGCTGTGAAAAACCAATTATACAAGAAAGCAACTGGAAAGAAACAGAGACTTTATAGGGAGAAGAAAACGTATATCCTCAAAGGGATAATAACAAATATTGCATCCATGATGTAGAAAAGAATGCTAGAGAATAAAACATTCAGAAAAAGTTCTGAGGTAAAATTTACATAACATAAAATTAACCATTTCAAGTGTACAGTCCAATGCCATTTAGTACACTTGTGATTTTCTCTTGTTTGTTTAAATTATTATACCATTTTAGTGGGTGTGAAGTGTCTCACTGTGGTTTTAATTTGCATCTATAATACAAATTACGAATGATGTTGAGCATCTTTTCATGGTTTCAAGTTTGTTAGCCATCTGTACATCTTTTTTTGAGAAATGTCTATTCAAGTCCTTTGCTCATTTTTAAATTGAGCTGTTTGTCTTTCTGTTGTTGAGTTATAAGCATTTTTTAATATACTGTGGATACTAGACCCTTATCAGATGTATGGTTTGCAAATGTTTTCTCTCATTCTGTAGGTTGTCTTTTCACTTTCTTGATAGTATCCTCTGTTGCACAAAAGTTTGAATTTTGATGAATCCCAATTTATCTATTTTTTCTTTTGTTGTTTCTGCTTTTGTTGTCATATCCAAGAATCCATTGCCAAATCGCCAGAGGAAAAATTTAAGTACTGTTGGAATCTAAAAATATTATAAAAAAACTAAAAACTAAATAGAAGACTTTGTGTTTCCAGTGTGACCAGCAAGGAGCTTGGAAGTCATCACCCCGTCCTCAAAACAAGAGTACTATGTTTTATTTCTACTCTAACACCTCTGACACCAAATGTGTGAGTTTTTTCCACACCATAAATTCTCCAAATCTCCCGACACCAACTGGATGTCCAATGACTCCATTCTATTCTGACACTAATTACCTGGAGTTAGTGTCAGACCCCACAGGTTACGGGCTCAGTCCCATAAGACTGCCCCCCACTTTAGAAGCCAGTTGTAAGTCCAGGCCAACCGTACTTCTCACTGGCCAGTGATAAACTGAGGGTTCTCATGACCCCTCTTTGGATTGGATAATTTGCTAGAATAGCTCACAGGACTCAGGAAAATGCTTTACGTATGATAACTGGTTTATCATAAAGGATAGAACTCAGGAACAGCCAAATGGAAGAGACGCATAGGGGAACGAATAGGGGTGATGGTACTCAAAGCTTCCATGCCCTCTCTGGGCACACTACCCTCCCAGCACCTCCATGTGTTCACCAACCCAGAAGTTCTATAAATCCTGTTGTTTAGAGGTTTTTATGGAGATCCCATTACATAGGTATAATTGATTAAATCATTGGCCATTGGTGATTGAACTCATCTCTAGCCCCTCTCCCCTCATTGGAGATTGGGGGCTGGGGCTGAAAGTTCCAACCCTCTAATCATATATTGGTCTTTGTGTTGACCAGTCCCCATCCTGAAGCTATCTAGGGCCCACAAAGGGTCACTTTATTAGCATGAACTTAGGTATGGCTGAAAGGGGCTCATCATGAGTAACAAAAGATGCTCCTCTCACCCTATCACTCAGGAAATTCTAAGGGATTTAGAAGCTCTTGTTTCAGGAACCGTGAACATGGATATCACAATATCACAAAGAGAAACACTGAACAAACTGAGTATCAACCACTCTTTTTAGATACACCAGAGAATTGAGGTCACAAGGCTAACTCCTGCCCCCCAAACTGGAGGGGCAGATAGGCAGATACAGCTTACCAGAGCAGAGGCAGCTGGAGCCAGCACCAGGATAGGAAAACTGCAACTGTAAGTGACAAATTGCTGGGGACTTAACGTGGGCAAGCTTCAGAGTTAAAAATTTCAAGGGGGTCTTGTCTTAGGTGGGCCCCACACTCCCATGAATTTTATCTTCAGGGGCTCCATCAGGTTCTCAGGGTGTAGATCAGAGAAAAATCCTTTCATGCTTCCATAGGAGGTGGGGAAATGGAACCATTTAAAAATAGTCCCAGAGCATTTTCTGTCTTTGTTTGAGTTGCTACAACAAAATATCACAGAGTGGGTAGCTTATAAACAATAGAAATTTATTGCTCACAGTTCTGGAGGCTGAAAGTCCAAACTCAATGGGCAAGCATGGTTGCATTGTTGAGGGCCTTCTTCCTGGTTCAGAGCCAGCACCTTCTCACTGTATCCTCACATGGTGGAAGGGACAAAGGATCCCTCTGCGGCCTCTTTTATAAGAACACTAATCCCATTCATGAGGGCTCTGCATCCATCCATGCACCACCTCTGAAGATTAGAATTAAACATAAGAATTTTTAGGGGACACAAACTTTCAGACCACAGCACTTCCCAAATGAAATGCAAAGCAAAAAGGAATGAAAACAATGGAACAGAATATCCAAGAATTGTGGGACTATTACAAAAGGTATAACATACAGATAATGGGGATACCACAAGGAGAAGAAAGAGAGAGAGGAACAGAAGACACAGTTGAAGTATTAATGACCAAGAATTTTCCTCAATAATGACCAACATCAAGCCACAGATCCAGGAAAGTTAAAGAACACCAAGAAACATAAATACCAAGAACTCTACACCTAAGTGTATATTGAAGCTGCAGAAAATCTAAGATAAGAGAAAATCTTGAAAGAAGCTAGAGGAAAATAACACATTACCTATAGAGAAGCAAGGGGAAAAATTACATCAGACTTCTCTTTAGAAACTCTGCAAACAAGAAGAGAGTGGAGTGAAATATTTAAAGTATTGAAAGAAAAAACTCATCAAGCTGGAAATCTGTATCTAGGGAAATTATCCTTCAAAAGTGAAAGAGAAATAAAGACTTTCATAGACAAATAAAAATTGAGGAAATCTGTCACTAGTAGACCTGCTTGCAATAAATGTTAGAAGAAGTCTTTAGAGAGGAGAAAAATGATATACATCAGAAATGTGGATATACATAAAGGAAGGAAGAACCTTAGAGAAGGAATGAAGGTAAAATAAAATATTGTTTTCTTGTTGTTAATTGATTTAATGGATAAAAGTTTGTTGAAAATAATAACAACAATATATTTGGTTATTATAGCTTATGGATAACTGAAATGACTGACAGCAATACTATGGGCTTTGAGAAGGAGGAATTGGGGATACTCTGTTATAAGGCACTTGCACTACCCAGAAAGCAGAATGGTGTTATTTGAAAATGGAATTAGATTAGTTGCAAAAGTATATTGCAAACTCTAGGGTACCCACTAAAAAAAGCAAAAACAAAAAAAGTATAATTAATATTCTATGGGAGGAGAGAAAATAGAATCATGTAAAATGATGCTCAGTTAAAACCAGAGAAGGCAGAAAGAGTAGGAGAGGAAAAAAAGAAAGAACAAGGGCAGCAAATAGAAAAAGTAACAAATGTGATAGATATTAATCCCACTATATCAGTATTCACGCCCTGCCTTGAAAAAAAAAATTTAATAAACTAGGAATAGAAGGGAACTTCCTCAACATTATAAAAGCCATATATGAAAATCCCACAGCTAACGTCATCCTCAATGGTGGAAGACGGAGGGCTTTCCCCCGAAGATCAGGGACAAGACAAGGATGCCCACTTTCACCACTTCTGTTCAACCCAGTACTGCAAGGTCTAGCCAGAGCATTAGGCAATAAAAAGAAATAAAAAGGCATTCAAACTGCAAAGGAAGAAGTAAAATTATCTTTGTTCACAGATGACATGATCTTATATGTAGAAAACCCCAAAGAGTCCACAAAACTGTCAGACCTAACAAAAAAATTCAGCAAAGTTGCAGGATACAAATCAACACAGAAAATCAGTTGCCTTTCTATACACTAGCAATAAACAATCCAAAAAGGAAATTAGGAAAACAATCTCATTTATGATAGCATCAAAAAGAATGAAATACTTAGGAGTAAATGTAACCGAGGAGGTGAAAAATTTGTATACTGAAAGCTATAAAACATTGCTGAAAGAAATTAAAGAAGACATAAATAAAGACACCCTGTATTCATTGATTGGAAGACTTAATGTTGTTAAGATGACACTATTACCCAAAGTGATCTACAGATACAATGCAATCCCTATCAAAATCCCAAGGACATTTTGCGGAAATAGAAAAACCCATCCTAAAATTTGTATCTCAAGGGACCTAAATAGCCAAAAA